ATTGGTCAGCCGAATATCAAAGTGCCTTCTTCAGTTCTTCTGTAGTATCACGCAGCAGAATAATAGTCCTCCACTGCTGCAATTGTACGGATTAATAACCCATTTTATCAATATCATATTTTTCTCATCAAACAGGCTAATGAATAGCTCGACACAACTCGTACCGGGGCAGAGTCTAGACAGGGCTAGACCAGCGGTTCTTAAAGTGATAGGGGGCCCGAGAAATAATTTGCTATAGCCTAAAGTATTTCCAGACTGTAAAGTCGCTTTTTTTATCATGATACATAGGCCTACTGTGATTTATTCCAAAGTGACTTATATAATGCATTTAATGTCAAATAATCTAAATGAAGCCTTTTAGAAGACAAGTATTCGCTGTGGTTCATGTTTGTGGCATGCGGCAGAAAGATGCTCAAGGAGACCGAGACGCGCTAAAGCAGCGCATTCTGTTGTTCTCTTTATTTTTCAAAGGCATGACATTTTGTAGTTATTTTGAACGTAACGTTACACAATTAAAAATATACATTTTACCATACGACTATAAATGACAGAGTATTAAGTTATTTCCCCTCGATGGGGAAAAAATCCAAGTGAACATCAATCAGTACTCCATGCCCAGCTGATGCAAAGAATAGAATTTATATCTACACAGAAGAAAGCCCTGTCTAGACTCTGCCCCGGTATGAGTTGTGTTGAGCTATTCATTAGCCTGTTTGTTTGATGAGAAAAGATTAAATGTAGTTGCAATAAATGCATTAAGAATCCATACAACTGCAGCAGAGGACTATTATTCTGCTGCGTGATACTGCAGAAGAACTGGAGAAGGCACTTTGATATTCGGCTGACCAATCAGCAGAAAGGGGCGTTTAATTCCCGCCCACGTGTAGAAATCCAATATTCAAGCTGTTCATTAATTTTTCTACCCATGAACGAAAAACGAACATTTAAGCTGAATAAGCCGATTTCTAATTTTTCTACTTTCAATATTAAATCAAAAAACGAATGATCGAATGATACACGGATTGAAAACCATCTCTAGTGTTCATTTTAATCATGGCATAACGAAGCCGATGTGTGCGGAGCAAATGTTTTGTTGTTGTTGCACTAACTGCATCATTAGTTGAATTAGCACACATATGTCTGCAAGAGGTCTGTTAAAGATGGCTTCATCTGGAAAGCATCTGCTCTGCACAAACATCTGAAAAACACCAGGTTTACATACGCTCTAAACCATAAACATCTTAAAGACATTTTTTAACATCTATTTGCCATCTGATTGGAAACATGTATATGAAATGTATTGCAGATGAGCAAACACTCTAAAAAATACATCTTGCAGATGTAAATGCAGACATCAAATAGACGGTAAATAGGATGTAAAATTAGATTGCAGTGGTCATTATCTGGCTGTCAGTGAACATGTTAAATTAGTGAACAAAAGGGGCTTTCGTACATATTTAGTAACTATTTGTACACTGCTTTTTAAAAATGCCAGGTAGCTGGTGTTTCGTATGCGTTTGGCCAATCAGCATACACTTGCGTGACTGATAGTTCCTATTGACGTTACTCTCCAGAGAAACAAGCGCGTCACCATCTTTAGAATATTGTCTTTGAACTTCCGTTTGTGTGGTAGCTCTGTGTATTTCTGTGGCATCGCTGTATAAGAGTAATGTAGCTGGTAACGTGGATTTATGTATTGTAGAGTTAACAAATGTTATCGTGAGTACTGTAATGTTTAAAGCAAATGTCATAACAAATGTCAGTAAAAAACGAGCGGTTGATTCATGAATCCATGAGATCACTGTGGAAATACAACTGGAAGACAGAAGACAACAAATGCAGCGTTAAAAAGGGGCAGGACTACATTAGGTCAATAGGACTGTTTTAGACCCTACTCTGAAGTAGGAGCTAATTTAGTTCCCCCAAACAGAGTTCCTAGAACTAAATACAATCCTAGTTCCTGCGGTGCGAACACGCCAAAAAAGCGGGAACTTCAGCCAATAGTTCTAGGAACTATGGAAAGTTTCCTCCGGTGCGAAATCCCCTAAAGACTACAGATTTTGGACTAGTATCTGAGGAATCTTTCAGGATTTGCGAATGGAGGCCAGTATCGTACAGCATGCACCGGCTGAAGGCTGTGTCTCACATGAGTCTCATGTTTTTGATCCAGCGGTGGAATCGCTCGGCGCTGATCTCGTCGTCGATGACGGTGTAGTCGGCTGTGGCGTCGGGAAGGACGATGAGCAGCGCCGCTCCGCCGCGGTACGACAGACGCAGCACTCGAGCGTGCAGCTCACGGTCCTCAGCCGTGGAGAATCTGTCCTCCTTCACCATCATGGGGACTTGAACGATGTTGTACTTGTCCACATAGAAGCGACTAATTTCTGTGCTGTTGGGGTCAAACGGACGATCCCAGTCACCTTGAGAACAAAGAGCTTTACATCAAATCCCAGTTGTTTAATTCAGTGTTTCCACATGCATAGAAACTAGGGCTGCGACGAAAAATCAATGCAGAATCAGTTTGTGGATGGATTCTGAGATCTAACGAATGCATGGCGATTCTCTCTGGAATGGATTCTGAGATTAGATCTTAACAGCAGATGGCACTCTCTCGTTTTTATCCGCACACTCAAACACTCATGAAGACAAGCGCTGAAGAGAGCTTGTGCGTTCGGCTGAGTCTGTAATTTCACCTCGGCTCAGAATGCTTTTATGACTCCAGATTAATGTAAACACAGCCCACTGTGAACACCCTTGTGGTTCGCTTCAACCTTTTCGAATTTTATGAATGATTATTTTAGGTTCAAGTGTGTGTAAGGATTTGGAAACAAGCAGAGTACGGCGGTTTCTACAGCATGCAGCGCCATCTGCTGTTCAAAACTACGCTCAGAATCGACTCGAGAAAGAATTGCCATGCATTTGGGAAATCTCAGAATCGATGCGGAATCATTTCTCGATTCGAGATGCATGGATTTATGTTTCCAGGCCTAATAGAAACTCACCCTGAAAGAAAATGGTGTTGAGGAGCATCATCTGCGTCAGCGGCTCGACGCTCGTCACCATTTCGTTCACTTTGCCGCCGGTCTTTCTGCTGACATACTCGTTGATGGTGCTCTTGCTGAGCTCTGTCTTACTGAAATCCACATTGTTCACATCGGCACCGAAGAACGTCTTGATCTGATCGCTGAAGACTCTCTCGACGTTAAAGCGCTCGTCTACGAAGAGTGCCGTGCCCTGCTCCATGTGCAGTTTTCCGTCCTGCGAGATGTTCTTCTGCAGCTGCTCAAAGAGCTGTGGGATGAGCGTCGCGTCTCCAGTCCCGTCCAGAGAGTCCAGATTCAGGCCCTTCTCCATCTGACTGCGTGTCGAGCCCTTGGAGGCCAGTAAGAGCGTGGCGAAAGACGTGGAAACACTCAGCGGCGAGAAGAAGATGTTTTTGTCATGATAACTTGATATCTTGCGATAGAGGTTCATGGCAAAGTCAATATTTTTGAAGGCCAGATCCGTGACGTCAGGAGTTTTGGGCTCTTGACTTTTAAGAACGCACAGAAAACCAGACGAATAAACGAGGGTGAACAGCACTCTTAACTCCATTTCATAATCGTTTTTCAAAAATCCTTTGACCTGTTGATACAAAAAACAGCTTATATTGAGTTTTAATTATTCTAGAGAAACATTGCTTCATATTAAGACACACAAGCACCCGCGATTCATCATTCTTCCCTCTGTTCTTTACTGAAGGATTTCTATAAGTACTAAAAGCAACAAACATGGTGGCAAAACACTGAACAATAAAACCAGCCCTAACATCTGAAAATATTAACTATAAATACATGCATAAAGTAACATGCATACTCACTGACAGGCTGCCGAGGATCTTTTCCCGTCTGTTGTGTTCTGACTGTTTGCAGAGACAAAGTTCAGTGTACTTTAGAGATTATCTATTAACAAACAAACAATTTTAGACCTGTCTGAAACAGATCAGTGATGGCAGATCACCAGGTTATTCTCACTTGTTTGAGTTTCAGTTTTGATGAAATCTTAAGTGCTTTAATGAAAGAATGGCAATTGTTCTCATCCTCAGGCCATTCAAGATGTAGATGAGTTTGTTTCTTCATGGGAACAGATTTGGAGAAATGTATCACTCCATCAACTTGCTCACCAATGGATCAGGTTTGAATTTAAAGCGTCTCAATGCTGGGTTTGTTTCAGCTTTTGTCTTCTCCAGATGTTAACTGATGGACTGGAGTGCTGTGGATTATTGTGATGTTTTTATCAGCTGTTTGGACTCTCATTCTGATGGGCCCATTCACTGCAGAGCATCCATTGCTGAGCATTTTCAGCAAACTAGTACATTTTTTTGGTGAACTATTCCTTTAAGAATGATTGTAGGAAACTTGCTGTAATTTCATTCAGACTTTAACAGATATTCATATCTACATATCTGCAGGTCATCAACTTAATAGGATGGTTCGGCCAAAAATGATTCTGTTATCATTTACTCGGCCTCGGTTTTACATAGTCAGGAGAAATCACAGAGAAAAGAGAATGTTTGACTTTGTACATTGTGTATTTTTTTTGTATATTGTTATTTCCTATTTACTTATCCTGTGTTTATTGTTTTTATTATCAGTCTCGTCTTGTCACTGTCATTCTGTTACACTGGAAGCTTCTGTCACTAAAACAAATTCCTCGTATGTGTAAACATACCTGGCAATAAAGCTCTTTCTGATTCTTTCAATTGGATATGATTTTAATGTGGGAATGTTTCACAGTTTTGACTGGTTTCTGGGAGTATCATTTTGACACAGTACATCTCTCCATCATGTTTACTTGTACACTGCTGCAGCTGAATGACGGCATTCAGATAGACTCGTTCTTCTTCTTTCCATCGTGAATGACACTCCAGCGCTAAATGCTGAAGGAACATCTGACATCTTCAAGAGACTCACAGAATCAAAATATTCCAGAGAGAAGAAACAAACAACATCCACTCAGGGGGAAAAGAAACGTTTTTATTTAAGAAACAATAAGTCTATATAGGAGTTCAAGAATAACCAATCACTTAAAAACTATTGCTGAATGTGAAACGAGTTCAGAAACGCTGCTGTGCCACCAAACGCATTAAATCATAGAAAAGAATGTTAAAACCATGAGAAATCACAACCTTGATCCAAAAGAGCTGCTGCCTGCCAACAAATGAGGGACGACTGATGAACGACTAAAACAAGTGAAGGTCTGAATCTGTATGAAGACTGATCTCCACGTCAGCATCTGCCCTCACTGTGCCGTCTACCTAGGGCACGTCACCCGCCGCTCACCGGTGACCAGCAGAAGGTCTTCACTACAGTCCACAGAGGAGAAGAGCAGAGAGATCCAGTAACCCCAGTAAAGCCCAATGGTCCCAGAATGCAGGAGTGATCCCAGCGCTGACAGCTCCCTCCTCACGCTGTCTCGTCTCGCTCGTGTGTCCGTCTGAGGAAGAGGAATGATCCGGGGAAACGCTTCCCTTTCACTTCGTTCAACTCAAAGAGGAGAAGCGAAGCTAAACGAATGTCCCTTTATTACACAGCAGGACCTGATCGGTCCCGGGCCAGTTCTGAGAGGAGGTGTGAGTCCCATCATTCCCAGAGAGAGGTCGGGTCAAGGGCATTCAGGGCGTCCGTCACCGGCGCTGATGGACCGTCACTGGTTGGGTTTGGTCCCGCTGTCCTTCCCTCCGTCTGCAAAACAACATGATCTGCTGAGCAGCGCAGATCCCAGACAGATTCATAAAGCAGACGTCTGTAATCAGGAAGATGACGGCAGACAGAATCTCTTACCGGCGGAGCTGCTGTGGTGAGCGGTGGACTGAGCTTGCTGCCTGTGAGGAGATCAGACCGTCATCATTACTCAGCACCAGAGCGTTACTGTATTCTAATTACTTTTCCTGATAACGTAGTAATGTAATGCATTACACTTTAAATTTATGCAATTTGATTACAGTTCCTAATGTGAATAAATTTACGTTACTTAAGTTACAAATGCAGTGTTAAAAAATATGAAGTAAATATCATGTTTTGTGCGTCAGTATGAGAATGCGAGCTAAAAATGCAGACAAGTCCTACAACATTTAGATGCAATGAAAGGTTTCCTATCATATTTCAAAATGTTGCACTCAATTTCACATTTTAATATGGCATTATAGTTTGGGAAAAGTTCACCTCAAGAATGTGTACTTCATGTCACAATAACACTGATACAAGTAAAAATAAATGACTCAGAATGAGATCCTCCACTGGATTAAGCCGCGTCGCATCGCATTCTTCTTCTGAGATAAATTCAAGGCTTATTCCTCACAGCGCGTCTTGTTCCAAAAACGAAAAGCAGCCTAGATGAACTTGATGAATCTTAACGCTTTGTTTACAGAGGTGATGTGGGAGTTTATATGTTGGCGCGTCTCAAGCCTGGCTTCGTGTGGATGATTATCTTATAGAGCAAGATGCGCGGGTGTGACCACATTATAGGAGAGCTCTGACGGGAAAGTCTGTACTTCACATTGGTTTTAAATGAATTACTTTATCAGAGAATATTTGTTTTCAAGATTACTTCATTTAAAAACAGACACTTCAAGCTTTCTTAAGATATATTTCTGTGTCTGTGTGTCAAGTATTCGCTGAGTTTTCGTTCATTTTAGTGACGCATTTCAGAAAGATATTCGCGGAGACTGAGAATGCAGAAAGCACATCCTATTTGTTTTCTTTATTTTACAAAAGCACAATATTTTGTTGGTATTGCGAGTGTATACAAATAAACGAACTTTTACAGTTTCAAATTATGTATTGCTCTTATGTGCAATCAAAAATTACAAAACATATGTTTATGTTCTTTTCGCTGTTATCAGGAAAAAATGTAAGTGATCGTTCAAGTTGCTGTCTTGATACTTAAGTAATTTTTCAGTCAATATTAAATTACTGAAAGAACTATGAGTTTCACTTCATAGTGTATTTTTTAGGTTTAAAAAATGTAAACTTGAAAGTACAGTAATTAGTAATCTGATTACTTTTTAAATGCAATAATCAGTAATGTAATCAAATTACAAGTTTAAAGAATTAATTCATAATTTGCAGTCGATTACTTAGCGCTCACCTGTCGAAGTAAGCCTGTCTCCTCCTGCGCAGCTCCTCCGCTGTCATCGCCTCCTTCTTGCCGCTTCCCGATTCGTGAGACGAGCCCGCCGTCACAGTGGCGCTGGGTCTTCTGGCATCGCTGCCACCTACAGCCGGTAAAGAGCGAAAGAACAGCAGATCAGAAAACGGCTCTGTTCTGACCTGAAGCACGGGAGAGGACTGTGATCTTTAGATCTGCACTGTTTCTAGTGGTGTGAACGAATAAGTGTTTTTCAACACATCTCACGGAAACACGAAACACTAAACTAGATATTCTGAGATTTTAATTGAGGGGTCATTCCGTGTCAACCAGAGGTCCATGGTTCAAATTTTTGATTTTGCTAATATTTCTTTTTGGAGAAAGTTAAACAAAGCAAAAGTTAAAGCAGCCAAAATATTAAATGTTATGAATGAATATTTACTGAGTAATCCACTATTTTGTAGAGGGGATCAAAATGGCCATTTTCACCTGAGAATCAGAGCCAAATAACAGGGGGGTAAAAATTACTTTAGCAATCTTTGTTGCATTTTGTGGCAATGGTGACCTTTCAAAAATGGGAAAAGAGCACTTTTCAAGTTTTTTCTCCAAAGTTTGCAGGCCTGTAACTCAAAAAGTATTAAAGATATCTTAATGCCCTTTTAGATATTGGGTCTTAACAAACTTCCCTTTTGGCATCTTCATTTTTAAAGTGTTTGTTCACCCAAAAATGAAAATTAGCCCATAAATTACTCACCCTCATGTCATCTTAGGTGTATATGACTTTCTTCTTTCAGAGGAATCCAGTTGGAGTTATATTAAAAATTGTCTTTGATCTTTCAAGCTGTTTAATGCCACTCAGCGGGTGTTGCATGCATCAGTCCAAAAGAAGTTAAATAAAAAGCACCCATCCATAAAAAAAAAAAGTGTCTCACATGGCTCCGGGGGGGTGAACAAAGGCCTTCTGTAGCGAATCGATGTGTTTTTGTAAGAAAAATATCCATATTCAAAACATAATAATCACTTTAATCTAGCTTGCGCTCACTGTTGTACACGGAAGCAGTTCCGGGCGGATGACGTATGAGTTCAGCGCTGCGCACGCGCCGCTCAGAAGTGAACAAAACAACGGTCACTAATTAGAAGTACAAAACGAGGATTTGTAAAGAAGAATGTCGGAGGATTTGGATATAAGCCAAGAGGAGACTGGTTTTCCTTTGCTAAAGTAAGGAAACTTTGCTTCCTTTGCTCCTGTTAACATACGTTGGTGTTCACGAGACTCACCGGCGCATGCGCAGCGCTGAACTCATACGAAATCCGCCCGGAACTGCTTCTGTGTACAACAGCTGGCGCAAGCTACATTAAAGTGATTACTACATTTTGAATATGGATATTTTTCTTACAAAAACGCATCGATTCACTACAGAAGGCCTTTGTTCACCCCCCCGGAGCCATGTGAGACACTTTTTTTTAATGGATGGGCGCTTTTTATTTAATTTCTTTTGGACTGATGCATTCAACACCCACTGAGTGGCATTAAAAAGCTTGAAAGATAGAAGAAAGAATATAACTCCGACTGGATTCGTCAGCATCCCATTTACCTGGGGTTTAGAATTATCCAGTGTTAATTATTTCAAGTGTGAGAGACCTTAAATGTTTGAGGTAGTATCAGTGATTCTGCCAAATATGCCCTTTAGCAGTAGATACTACTTAATCTGACTATGCTTCACATTGTAGCGTTTCAGAGTGAAACAGACAATTTAAGATTCGATCAGAACATAGTTGAAACACGAGGAGCCGAATTCCGCAAAGAGGCCCAAGACAACATGAATGATCGTAAATCAGATCCTAGTGCCAGCCAGCCTGAAGTAAGCCTTACCAACCAACTAGCAGCTTTAAACAGCTTGCAACATTAACACAAAAGTACACTTATTGATAATTCTAACTCAGGAAGGAGATTGCTAAATTTGGGGCAAGTAACCAAGATTGATGGTCAAAGAGATGCACAGCATGACCATCACATGTAAATCCATGATAGTAATCAAGGACACCGGCCCTCCAGGACCGAGCTTGGGCACCCCTGGTTTATAGGTTTATAGTCGTGTTTAGTATGTGTGTGTGTGTGTGAATATTCATTATTTAAATGTATCTATCAATTAATTCTTTGTTAAATTGTATTATATTCTCGTTATAGAAATCATGTCCAAATTATACTCTGCAAGAGCGGGAAAATTCGGACCATTATTTCAGATTGACTTCCCCCACCTAGAAGACAAGAACCAGACTGACATTCCTTCTAGACCCTTTTGAACACGTCCTCACGTTCATAGAATGGCACAGAGACTGCCTTTACATGTATATATGCACCAAAATGATGCTAAAAGGACTTATGAGCAACTATCACTTCTATACAGAACTCCATATCATCTATGTAACCCACACATTTGACTATCATGTCCTAATCACTCATTGTGTATGTCATTTTGAATAACTTTTGAATAGTTTATAGCAGGGGTGCCCAAGCTCGGTCCTGGAGGGCCGGTGTCCCGCAGAGTTTAGCTCCAACCCCAGATAAACACACCTGAACCAGCTAATCAAGCTCTTACTAGGCATACTAGAAACTTCCCGGAACTCTGCAGGACACCGGCCCTCCAGGACCGAGCTTGGGCACCCCTGGTTTATAGGTTTATAGTCGTGTTTAGTATGTGTGTGTGTGTGTGAATATTCATTATTTAAATGTATCTATCAATTAATTCTTTGTTAAATTGTATTATATTCTCGTTATAGAAATCATGTCCAAATTATACTCTGCAAGAGCGGGAAAATTCGGACCATTATGTATTGGTAGGAGAAACATGATAACACGCCAAGCTAAGACAATGTCTAATTCAGGGGTGTCCAAACTTGGTCCTGGAGGGCCGATGTCCTGCAGAGTTTAGCTCCAACTTGCCTCAACACACCTGCCTGGAGGTTTCTAGTATGCCTAGTAAGAGCTTGATTAGCTGGTTCAGGTGTGTCTAATTAGGGATGGATCTAAACTCTGCAGGACACTGGCCCTCCAGGACCGAGTTTGGGCCCCCCGGTCTAATTGGTCAAGACACCATTTGGGATGTGTCCAACAGCCCAGTTTAAAAACTAAGGACAACAACAAATTACGCTTTTGCCATTTCTTTAGCTTTTAGTCATGTTTTTTGCCTTTTGGGCATTTTGCCATTGCTTTTTGTCATGGCTTTTGCCTCCAAGTGCTTTTCAGCGTGCTCTGGCTTGCACGCCAGCTGCTCCTTTAAAAACCATGAGGATGTACGGCATCTAGTCTCGTCACTTTTCTTTCTGTCTTCTACTTTAATTTCTTTTCCGTTTAGTTTTGCGTTCTGAGTTAAGTTTTGCCGCAAAGCCGTGTCTCTTGAGTCCAACTCCGACTGTGCTCGCCCCAAAACTTTAACCAGCCCATGCACCATCCTTCAGCCAACGCCTCCAGCCAATCAACAACCTTGGGAAACCCCTTTCTGCAACAACGACCACAAAGGGAACCTCTAAACAGCAATGCAAGTACCTCTAGATTCTAGCTGAATTGGTGCATTTATTATAAAGCTTAACAGCCTCATTGAGAAACTCAATGCAAGGGTTAATTTAATGATTGATGGTTGTTCAGGTCTAAACAATTGCATATATTGCTATTCAATTCAATTCAAGTTTATTTGTACAGCGCTTTTCACGATACAAATCGTTGCAAAGCAACTTTACAGAAAGTTACGTTTCTACAATATTTAGTGGTAGCTTATCAGTGGTGTCTGTCAGTTAATGTACATATGGCAGAAATGTACGGAAAAATCAATTAAAGATGTAATCAAACAGACAATGAACACTATTAACAGCAATTATTATATGATGCAATCAAACTTATAGCAAAATGTGGTAGTTCTGTATGTTGTTTCAGGGTTGGCATCATCTGAGGTCCTCTGAGGGGTTGGCATCATCTCTTCTCAGGTGTTCTGGATCCAGACTGAAGCTTGTGTAAATCCTAGTTACCACGGGATGTCAATCCCAGCAGAAACAGAGAAACTAGAGATGCACCGATTGCAATTTTCTTGGCCGATACCGATTCTTGCCGATTCCGATTTTCTTTCTAAGAACTATAATTGACAGCATATACAAACAAAAATCTACTTTTCTTCAACGCAAAGTTTTATTTTCATAAAAAAAAACAAGTAAAAAGTCAGTAATAAAATAAGAACAAATAAAAAAAATGACAAACAACAGCACAAATAAATGCAATAGAATAAAGAGAGCCATGAAACTAAGTTTTTCAGGTTAAATAAGTTTTTATTCAGGTAAGAAATACTACAGAAATTAAAGTAATCAAATGTAAAATAACACATTCAGTGTTATTTTAGATTTGATTACTTTAATTTCTGTAGTATTTCTTACTGTGTGTGTATATATATATATATATATATATATATATATGTGTGGTGTGTGTGTGTGTATAATACACATACATAAACTGAACAAAATTATAAACGCAACACTTTTGTTTTTGCCCCCATTTTTCATGAGCTGAACTCAAAGATCTAAGACTTTTTCTATGTACACAAAAGGCCTATTTCTCTCAAATATTGTTCACAAATCTGTCTAAATCTGTGTTAGTGAGCACTTCTCCTTTGCCGAGATAATCCATCCACCTCACAGGTGTGGCATATCAAGATGCTGATTAGACAGCATGATTATTGCACAGGTGTGCCTTAGGCTGGCCACAATAAAAGGCCACTCTAAAATGTGCAGTTTTACTGTATTGGGGGGTCCGGGGAGGTCCGAAAACCAGTCAGTATCTGGTGTGACCACCATTTGCCTCACGCAGTGCAACACATCTCCTTCGCATAGAGTTGATTAGATTGTTGATTGTGATTGTTGCTCTTTTGTTAGTTTTGACTGCTTTTATTGTCCTCATTTGTAAGTCGCTTTGGATAAAAGCGTCTGCTAAATGACTAAATGTAAATGTTTTATAGACCACATTAGTGACAATAATATAATAAAAATAATAATACTAAATAAAAAACATGAATATAATAAAAATTTAAAAAATGCAATTAGATGCGTTTCCCCCGATTGTTCTGCCTATTTTTGTAATGAAAGAGTGCACACACCTGACGTGTGTTTCTCACCCTGCATGCTGAGCTGAAGGGCTCTGCGCAGGTCGGCCTCCTCGTCCTCCACCTCCATGCCCTGTCTGCTGAGACGTTAATATAGTTCTCTGCTAGTAATGGAGGATGAAAGGAATTGTTCCAGTTCCCGTTTCGGTGTACAAAGCTGAAGTGTGGCATCATTTGGGCTTTTAACGTCCACCGAGGGACCGTGGCGTGGGCGCCGCCTCGGTTCCGCCGCTTGCCTCGTCCCATGTGAAGAGCCTTCGCGTGGCTGCAGCTTTCTCTCGTAATGGGGGCGTTTTGTGCAGTTAGGCCGGTGCTCGCGTTGAATGTTACAGGGACTGATTATTGCAAATGCAGATCCCACTATGTTCTGGTTAAATAATTTTTATATATTTTATTTATTTATTTATTGCTAAGGTTTGCATATGGTGCAAAACACGGCGCATCCGCTCAAGACACCATCAAAACACGGTGCATCCGCTCAAGACACGCCATCAAAACACGGCGCATCCGCTCAAGACACACTCAAAACAATGCGCATCCGCTCAAGACACCCCATCAAAACAAGGCGCATCCGCTCAAGACACCCCATGAAAACACGGCGCATCCGCTCAAGACACCCCATCAAAACACGGCGCATCCGCTCAAGACACGCCATCAAAACACAGCGCATCCGCTCGACACACTCAAGACACTCAAAACACGGCGCATCCGCTCAAGACACTCAAAACACGGCGCATCCGCTCAAGACACTCAAAACACGGCGCATCCGCTCAAGACACTCAAAACACGGCGCATCCGCTCAAGACACACCATCAAAACACGGCGCATCCGCTCAAGACACGCCATCAAAACACGGCGCATCCGCTCAAGACACACCATCAAAACACAGCGCATTTGTTTATTCTATCACAATGCCAGAGCCGTGCAGAAGATAGTCAACATGAAACTGATCGCAACTCATGTGACGGCAGACTCAGACCATCAGATGGGGAAATGATGAAAAGGAAGCTGTCTCAGAGGTAGAGCGAGTCTTTATAGTATGATGAAAGACAAACATGTTCTCATTCTTTGGAGAATCATGCACAAAAACACCAGGAACATGAATTAAGAAGGAGTGCAGCTGCAGTGCTCTCCTATGTCCACATGGTTGCCTTGTCCAAATATCCACACTTGCCGTCTTGGCCACTTGAGAGCGCGTGCGCAAGACTGTCCCAGATCTTAAAAACACCAAAGCGCAATGCTCTTAACACACACTAAATCCGCTCTGGAGCGTAACGTATTCCCATCATGCATCATGTTTTGGAATAAATGTTGAGATTTTTGCTGAGATCTCGCAAGAGGTCACGTAAAACTTTCCAATGTAAGTTAAATATTCATATAATAATTAGACAGGGCCTATTATTACTTATAATTTGGTAGAAAAACAAAGTGTTGCACGTTTTATTGGTGCAAAGAGGAGTAGTGGTGATATTTATTTTGTACAACATTTGCAACTGCTTTTCATCACTTAATTAGAAGCACCACATTTTAAATGGTGTCATATTATAGAGACTACTGAACACACATTTAGCCTAGATTTTGATTTTAAAATGCAAAGTATTTAAAATGAAAATAAAGCTATTGCATTTTTACAACACTATATGGATGTCCCATCGGGTAATGAAAAGTTTGACACGCGCTTGTGTTCTTCAACCTCACTTGGACACTTAGGCCAAACACAGGAGGTACGTCAGAGAAGTAGTCGAGTGCTCAAGTGACCGCAAGTGTGAGTATTTGGACAAGGGCACGATCCTGGCAGCATCACTCCACTAAACTGCTTCCCTGTGCCTCAAACGTGACTCACCTGAATGGAGAAGAAGCCGCTGTCATCCATGTTTCCCGACGGTTGCTAAAGATGGTAGAACACAAGCATATTAAGACTGTGATCACGTATAACAGTGACACTTGTTCTTTGAAATGAGCCGTGTGTGTAGCACCTGCAGAAAGGTCCGGTACTCCTCCGTCTGAACGCCTCCTTCAGCCATGCGCACGCGCTCCTCCTCATCCAGCTGCTGCGCGATCGCCGACAGCTCCACGGGACTGAAGTACTCTCCCTGCAGCAGGTTGTTCAAGCAGTGCTGCGCACACAGAGAGCCCTCTTGCTGAAACACACAGACACATCAACAATGTCACTTTTTAAAAATAAGTTTTTATTCAGTCATCGAATAACCTTGCAACATTAGTTTTTTTATATGCACATAAACAAACATAAAAATAAAAAAAAACATTAAATGTAAGTTCCTCAAGCCATAGTTTGGCAGCAGGAGGGTTAACCTTTAACAGCTTCTTGACTGTTATCACACAATACCAAAGGAATTTCTGTTGAGCACTATTCACTGAATATGTATAATTAGAGAGTCCTAATATAATGAGCACTGGGTCTGTTTCCAGGTTTGCATTAAAAACCTCACACCAGAATCCCTGTAGTTTATGACAGAAAATAAAACTATGAGGCAAGTCAGCCTCCTCTGATTTGCACTTATCACAAGAGGGGAGACAGTGGGGAAAATCCTGTGTAATGTCTATTTCTATAATAACTGATCATTACTGTAGTATTTCAGTACCATGGCATAAGCACTACAGTATTAGTCATGTGACTATCATTCATCAGTGCTGCGGTGTATAATAAAGTACCATGGTAACGTTACGTGTTTGTAAACATAGCTACTGTGATGTTTATAGAAACACGAGAATAATGAAAGTGACGCACACTGACAGTAAACAAACATATCAGTCCATTTCTGATTGTTGACAGTCGAGGAAAGTCCAAGAACCCTTCATATAAACCCGATTAAACCCATTCGTGTAAAGACACGCTGACACGCAGACAAATCTCTCATTTACGGGTGATGAACGTGAAATATAAGTCATAAATATAATTCCTTAAAACGCGATTCTTACTTTTTCGTGGAAAATAGACTCCATGTTTGAAAGCTGGAATGACGGAACAGCCGGAAACAACGACACGTCCAAACATGTCAAAATAAAAGTCTCCCAAAACACAAGCGCTCGTCAAATAAAACAGCTGAAACAAAGTTAAATGTACAGATTAGGATTATACAGCACTTGTTAAATGGTCGATTTTTATTGCATATTAAATCACAAAATTATAATTGATAATATGTTATTGTAATCGTACAGTTATTGACAGTGTGTCATTCTATGGAAATGTCCATTTTTTTCTGTCCCTAGTCTTTACAGAAATCTTACACTTGAAAAACACTTTAGGGTTACAATTTTTATTATATTTTAAAATGGCACAATGTGTTATTTGAACAATTACACCTTCTTGGGCAATCAATGTGGCAATATTTGTTTTTAATTAATTATAAAGAATTCCAAGCACCCCAAAACTGCTCGTCCCCACAGCCATGTACAGAGGAAAAGAGCTTTATGTTGAGGTCAAAAACAGTTTTTCTACCATTTAAAATACAATAATGTATTCATAACTATTGAATATATGACGTAAATGACAAACTAAATGCCAAATAAATATTATAAAATATATAATGAAAGTAGTGGCCCCTGGAGTTGTGTCACTGGTGTTACCCTTTAACAAAAATCATTTATTTTGAAATAAAAATCACACTGATGACATCACTTGACTTCCTTCTTCCTATTTCCTGAGGATCTATGAAGAAAATCTCTCCAAGAGGGAATTTTTTTTGGAATGCGGAGATTTCTGATATTCATTGGAAAGAGGCATGGTTAAATCCATATAAAGTTTGCATGTTGAATAAAGTTAAAGAGGTACACTTTAAAATACTCCACAAAATCTACCCATGTAAAGCTTTCTTATCAAAACTCATGGATATTGACAACAAGTGCAGTTTTTGTATATCATAATGTACACGAGCAAGACTTGGGTCATTTGTTTTACAGCTGTGATTTATCTTTGAAATTTTGGTCTGATGTTAGCTTTTTTCTATTTGCCCCAAGAAATGTTAATTATAAATTATCTTTAAAAGATGGTATATGTTCTTACACACACAAAAGCAAAATGTTCAGATATGTTGTAAACTTTTACATTTTGCATGGTAAATATTACATTCATAAAAATTAACGAATTGTATACCTAAATGTTAAGTATTCTTAAAAGAAATGGAGTTGTTAAAAAAGTCCTTAGTGTTAATTAATAACAAAGAATGAAATTAAATTTTATGGAGAAATTCTTTGAAAAAGAATGTCCCCGCTATGCTTTTCATCTCAATTGTATGCTAAATGTGTCTCTAGGGAAAAGGAAGAAATATCTGTTTGATTGTTTTTTATTTTATGTTGTTTGTTCCTGTATGATTGTAATAATGTGAATAGGTTGTGTTGTATTTATATGTTAAAATCTTTTTGTTAATCTTGTTTGAAGCAATAAAAAAAATAAAAAAGAAGATCTATGAAGAAAGGCCCATGTTAAGTCCACTGTCTCTTTTAATTTATCAGAAATGTTCTATTTATCCATTAAACTGAAGAGAGAGACCTTTTTGAAAGAGTTTTTGTTTGTTTGTTTTGTAATTTTGAGGTGTTCAGCTTTATTTTGGCTTTAGAAAATAAACGTGCTCTCCTCACAAATCAACTCTTTCTTGTTTTTGTTTCATGCTCTCTGTGCCTTGCCCTGGACTTTTATGTCACTTCCTGTCTCCCGTGGTCTTTGTAGTCAGTTTGTAGTCTGTTTGTTCATATTTTATGTTGTTTGTTCCTGTATGATTGTAATAATGTGAATAGGTTGTGTTGTATTTATATGTTAAAATCTTTTTGTTAATCTTGTTTGAAGCAATAAAAAAAATAAAAAAGAAGATCTATGAAGAAAGGCCCATGTTAAGTCCACTGTCTCTTTTAATTTATCAGAAATGTTCTCATTTATCTCATGATTTCATGACCTACTTTATTGTTAGGGAATTGTATAAAACTAGAATACAAATGGATTAAACCACTTAATTTAGTGAGTATACCATGATTGACAACATGTGGTTTGATACCTTGCAGCAGACATTTTGTAAAATGCATTTTTCATGAAAATTGTCACTGGTGTTACCTTCTTATGGG